CAACGAATGCTGTCTGAACATAAGTCGGAAGAAATTCTACACTTTTATATTTAACATGCAGACCAATGTAACTCTGAAGGTTAGATTAATCTTGCTATAAACAGTTTAAATGTTTGATTCTGATATCTTTTCCCACAATATAGAAAAAAATGCACCAACGAAACTAGTAAGAGAAAATCATAAAACCCCACTAGAAGCAACCATATCAATCCCAGCCAGTATATTTGAATCGCCAGACACAGGATCGACGCAAAATGCAACTACGAGTGCCACAACGCGAGATCACTTACAAATGAATGGTCGACTGTCAATAATATCCCAGTATTTGTTAGCAATAAGAAGCAGTAGGTGTGTGTTGGGAAGGAAGTAGTGAAGCAAATCTCCGAAAGCGTTGAAAATAGAGAACGATGACACTAGACAAAACCCTCTGCTTTTATTTTGTGTCCGATCCTCTGAGAATAGCGTATTATAAAGTAGGACAAAGAACGGTTGAAAAAATTCTGTAAAGTGATGGGAAGGAGTATCACTTCGGTTAAACAACGCCGCCCGTATAAGGGCCGAAGAGTAGCAAAACTTAAATCTTCTCCGCTAATGGCAACTTCGGATTTAACAATCGCCTAATGACCAAAGTTTCAGTATTTAGTCTGAGCACAGATCTTGTAGAGCCACTGGTTCTTAACCACATGATCTTAGAGGCTGAATATAAGATCTCTGAAGAGATGCTCACTCAACATTTAACATGTAAAGTAGGTTAAAAATGGTGAGTGCGAAAATGGCGTGGTCACCATGCGATATACATCTCTTCATAATAACTATATTATTCTACACACAGCCCAGATGTGTTCTTCAGAAATGCTGAAAATCATATTGCTGACTGTAAAATAGGACAAGTCAGTATGGATGGTGTGACTTCCATGTAAAATATGATATTTAAAGCAACTAGCCCCTTTTATAATTTTCGATAAAACAATGAGAAGACGGAGTTGATCTGAGAAATGTAATTTATTTTCTCCATACATTTCGAACAATCTGGTCACACATATAATTGTCAGGGCATTTTATATGAAAGTTAATAAAGGCCAGTATAATATTACGAAATATTTGAAATATAGTGCGAACTAAGAGTCCCAGAAATAACGCAATCGAATTAAGAAGTACGACACAAGCACAAACGAATGTACTGTATTTGGAATTAGAAATCGTGCAATCAACAAGTACAAAAGTATCATTATTTCGATCAAACACCACATCCGCTACAGCTTTAATTGGAGTCTAGGTGTTTGTAATCAATCTTACATCTTCTTCTCAAATTCATCCTGAGTCTGTCTGACACTGTATTGGAAAAGGATTCTGTATTATCTAGAATGTACTCATTAGCGTTAGAATTAATAACGGAAATTGGAACAGACTCACCTGGTTCCTGAAATTGTATTTGATCAACATGTCGACTGTGTGTACTTAAGTCATTGATGTCTAGAATTCAAACAATCTATTTTCCGACATTCCTCAGAACAATACTCGTAGATGGTCGAAGATCATTTCCCCGATAGTATGTAACTTCTGCAGACTCCAATCATCACATATTCGACCGAAGAATCCTTCCTTTCAATAGCTTCGCTGGAGTCTCCTTCGTCACCGAATATCTGGCATTTCTATATTGCAATAGAAAGGTATCTACTCCCCTCTCCAGCCCATTAAATGTTGAGGCGGTTATAGAATCAATAGCAGTCTTTAATGTCCTGACAAAATTCTCTGTCTGACCATTAGCACATGGATGTCTGGGAGCAGTAAACAGATGTTTGCACCCTATACCGTTCAACCGGGTAGTGACTGCATCTGCAGCAAAGTGAGAGCCATTATCAGTCACTAACACCATTGGAACCCCTTCTCGACTAAATACCTTTCTCAATGCTTGGATTGTGAAATCAGAATTTGGTGATGTTGTAAAAAAACTTCAGGCCACTTTGAAAAAGAACCAATAACTACTAAAGAATAGTATTCGCCAAGAAACGGACCACAATAGTCAGCATGAATTCTCTTCCAGGCCTCAGACAATACTGGCCATGGCACCCACCTCGAAGGATGATTTTTCAACTGATGACATTTCTCACAATTGTTTGCCGTATGACATATATCTGCATTTATCTCTGGCCACCAGCATGTGAGCCTTGTCAAGGACTTCATTTTCTCAACACCTAAATGACCACTATGAAGATCTTCAAGAACAGATTTACGCAATGGAGGAATGACAACACGATCATTTAAACACAGAATACCATCAGGAGTAGTAAATAGCTCATCCCGCTTTGAAAAATAGATTGGAAATTTGCGTTTTAAATCAGCAGACCAGCCTTTCCGTATAGCACTGAGTATACATCCAAAATATCTGCGAGTTACTCTAATGAGATCTGAACGTCTCACTGGTGAAGGTTGCACTAACAAACAGTCCGAAGCAATAATAGGTTTATCTTGTAATGACTGTCGATAAATGTAGTCAACATGTTGAATCTGTTTGGCACTTCTGTGCTGAACCGTATAGTCATATGCACTCAAAGCAATGCTCCATCGCTGAACCATAGCTGCTGAGGAACGTGCTAAGGATTTTTCGGGATGATAAATAAACTTTAAAGCCTCATGATCAGTAACAATAGTGAATTTCTTTCCGAATAAATATTTATGAAGTCTTTCAACAGCCCAAAACACAGCTAATGCTTCTCGCTGAGTCTGTGAATAACCTTGTTCAGTAACAGTAAGTTTGCGTGAAACACAAATAACTGGTCTACCTTCCTGTTCCAAAACTGCACCAATTCCCACAGGTGATGCATCAGTAATAAGCACAGAATGTACACTAGGGGAGTACGTTCGAATAACAGCATCACTTTGAAGAAACTTTAGTAGATTACGTAAGCATGACTCTTGTCCCTCACTCCATTTGAATGAATTGGATGTCAAAATATTAAATAAACAATTTGCACGACAAGAAAAATTTGGAATAAAACGGGAATAGTATTGGAGAGCACTCACTAGTGAACGTAATTCCGTAAGACTTTTTTGGAGACGGTGCATTTGTCAGTTGAGCTAGTCGTTTCATATCTGGTCTAAAACCATTACCATCAACTAGGTATCCAAGGCATTCGAAACTCGATACACAAAATGAACACTTATTTGGATTCACCATAATATTCTTCTCAATTAAACGACGCAATAAAGCAATAAGTCTCTGGTCATGAACTACCTTTTTAGAACCATGAACAATGAGATCATCTTGATAAACTTCAACACCTTCAAGATCACTAACTACTTTATTCATAACTTCCTGAAATATGGCTGAAGAACAACTTAAACCAAATGGAAGGAAATTGTATTTGAACAGACCAAACGGAGTGTTAATTGTCGTCAAAATAGATGAAGATTGATCTAAAGGGATTTGAAGATAAGCATCTTTTAGGTCAACTTTCGAGAACACTTTAGAACCATGAAGTCGATTTAGAATATCTTCAGCTTCTACCGTCGTGCACGTTTGCTTCAGCAAACGGGAGTTCCAAACTCGGTATGTTAATTCCTGCAATTAATCGATCTCTCAGTTGTACATGAAGTTGATCACCGAAATTACAATTGGCAGCTTGTTTCTGCAATTCAAGGAGGAATTCCCGAAATTTTGACGAACCATCTTATGAAATTTCGCCCTTTCACGGCATTAAAAACTGGTGCATTTTACATGATTTAATAATAGCTCCTTAAGGGTTGCATAAGGAAGTGAGATAGGTTTTTCTGGATAAGCCAAAGTTTTTAATAAGCTGTACGCTTCTCTCCTAATGAATGTCAGGAAATGTGCCACAATTTTATCACCTTTAACATCTTTCTTAGTTATGCTCCAGATTTCAAACCTTTCCAAATAATCCTCAGAAGCTTCCTAAGTTGAATGAATATCCAACTTTTCCATTGCAGGTTCCATCGCGACGCCAGTATAATGTTTCGAATTATTTGAATTATAGTGCGAACTAAGAGTCCCGGAAATAACGCAATCGAATTAAGAAGTACGACACAAGCACAAACGAATGTACTGTATTTGGAATTAGAAATCGTGCAATCAACAAGTACAAAAGTATCGTTAGTTCGATCAAACACCACAGTCAGTGAAATGAAAGTTCAAGTAAAAAAGTAACAAAGGGATGAGAAACAATTTTACATCGTATATATAGAATAAGAAATTGTCGCTCCGCCCCTCCGGCCGACGCTCGAAAGATTGCACATCAAGGGGCGAACACCCAGATATACTCTCACCTTTTCATAATATGGGTTGTCCCCATTTGAAGTGCTCTCCCAGACAAAGTGACCATAACCTCATCGTTGGATAGCTTTAAGGAGAGAATTGACAAACACGTACTCACCAAAGGATTATCGTAGCTCTCTTAAACCAGGAGTGTCTATGGATGTCTCGCAAATTACCATGGTCACCATTATTGCATGTCAGTAACTACTTCTTATCTTTCGAATCATAATTTCCGTTTTCTAACACATTACTGATTAAGTAGCTTGTTTATTTGTTCTTGAGACAGTCTTCTCCTAGCAATTTAATTATCACGTTATTACATTAACATTCCAACCAAACAACCTTTCAGGCAATACGATGGCTACTGGTATTCAGAATCCCCACTGGTCTGAGACAAACAGTCTCACTCATACAACAAGATATACAAATTCACAAATAACTAATAAACTGACCAGAATCAGTGCGGTGGAGTGGCTAGCTACCACCAATTGATTGTTAAAAATACATGAAACCTCATCGAAACGACAGGAAGCGAGTGTAAATAAATCATACGGTTCATACAAACCCGTGACATAGACATTGGATGTAGAGCGCCTTTTCAGAAGACATCGCTACAAGTCGTTCATCATGCCTCGGATTAACATCAAAGGGGGTGTTTGGAGGAACACTGAGGTAAAATTTCGGATATTAAGTTACTTTTAAGGATGAAATTCTCAAAGCTGCTGTTATGAAATATGGCAAGAACCAGTGGGCACGGATAGCTTCTTTGCTACACCGCAAAGCCGCTAAGCAGTGTAAAGCTAGGTGGTACGAATGGCTTGATCCTAGTGTCAAGAAAACAGAGTGGAGCCGTGAAGAAGATGAAAAGTTACTACACCTTGCAAAGCTTATGCCAACTCAATGGCGAACAATTGCTCCGATAGTTGGAAGGACTGCAAACCAATGTTTGGAACGCTATGAATATCTTTTGTAACTCATAAATTTATTATTATTTTAAAATAAAGGGACAAAGCACAAAACAGAGAAGGGTTATCTGCAGAGGAGGATCCTAAACGCCTCCGTCCAGGCGAAATTGATCCAAATCCGGAGACTAAACCTGCCCGTCCAGATCCTGTTGATATGGATGAAGATGAATTAGAAATGCTTTCAGAAGCCAGAGCACGGTTAGCCAATACACAGGTCGGTTGCTTTCGATGTATTTATACTTCTTCCGTAGAGTTATTCCTTTAATTCATAGAAATAATAGGAATTCGTTTGACTGTCAGGGTTCTTTCTGCTTTTAATTTTCTCAACTGAATTTCTCCCATAATGTACTACGCTCATCCACTTATTTTCGATCATTCGGTTATTTTTTGGTTATATTCTCTACCTGTTTACAATTTCAATCTCTTATGTTTTTCTTAATTTTTTAAGTATTTATTTGTACCAATATATGTTCAAGTAAATAAAAGAAAACTAGGATTTTTATGAACTTCTACATTCGGCATGCTTACAGAGTTCGTCTTGGTTGAGTGTTGGACACTAGTAGTAGATCAAACTAAGTTATCCGTACTCAAGTCAGATAACGATTACTTTATTATCTTTCAGTATTTGCAAATAATTTATTTGCTGATTCTCTGAAAGTGATATTAGCCATGCGGTTTTACTTTTCAGCCTGCCATTTCACTTGTGTTAATCTGTTTCTAATTGTTTCAGCACAAATCCATTAAGTCTATCCGAACATCCTCTTATTATGCTTGCCATCCTGCCATCCATGTTAATCGCTTCTAGTGATGAAACCTCTGTACCTCCATACTTTCCTCGTGTTTGCATGCCAATGGACTAAAAGTTGGGGTTATTAGGGTGATTCTCATTCTTTGAAAGTGCTCTCATGTCCAGTTCTGTAAAATCAATCGTTCTTGTGTATGCTGGTTTCGATTATTCGTTTTCTTCAAAATCAAATTCATGTCTGAAAATCCTTTCACATCTGTTTGTTTATACACTTTACATTTGAAAGACGTAAAAATTTTATTTGCATGGCTCATATCTAACTCTTCGTTTATTTGTTCTTTGTGATCTTAGGGTAAAAAAGCAAAGCGTAAAGCTAGAGAGCGTCAGCTCGAGATTGCGCGAAGAATGGCTATGATGCAAAAACGTCGGGAACTTCGAGCAGCTGGTCTAGGAACATTCTTAGGGTTAGCACCGAAAACGAAGCCATGCATGGATTATAATTCCGAAATTCCATTTGAGAAGCAACCTCCTAAAGGGTTTTATGATACTAGTAGGGAAAAACCAGAAATCAAACCTATGGACTTTCAACGTTTAAGACTTTCAGATATCGAAAAAGAAAGTTTCATGGAAAGGGAGAAGGTAAGCCATCACATTGTTTTCGTTTTTGGATTATGTATTTCAAAAACTTACTCTTTTTAATACCCTTTTTTCATATCTTTATACCAAAATGTTATTTTCGGGTAATTTATATCAAATTCACATTCATAATACGTCCGTTTCGTGCTTGTGTGTTGAGAGTTTTACAAAGTTTATTGCTCAAGGTCAGTCGAATTGTTTCTTAAGTGTTCTATCTATCATTTCAGCCCCCTGGTTTGAGATTAGGTCACTGACTTGTCTCACACTAACTGTTAAGTCCTTATAATTGACCACCTACTACTTGTTAACTAGTCGTTCCCGTTTTCCCCCCTTTTTATATCTCATCTATGATTTTTCATTACAATTGTATTAACATCTTGCTAGTCTACAATAATGCTGTTCCTTCTATTTTCCGTTATTTCGCTGCTAAAAAAGTTTCCAACTACTTATTAACTCAAAAGAGGCTATGGAAATTCACTAGAATTTCCCAGTTTATTTCAGTGTTAACAAGTACGAATTCGGTTTCTGAAGATTTCTTCGTAATTATAGATAGGTATTTTATTATATACAGTACTAAAATGTATTACGTTAGCCAGAAGGGTAGGCACAACCCCATCAGGACGGATTTTAATAACATCAAATAAGTCGGCTAACCATTTGTATAATTCCTCGAGATTCGATTGTTTTATTTACCTAGGGCCCAAATAGTCGTCGTTAACTTGGTACGTTGGTAGGGAGAATTTAATTCTTCATTTGAATAAGTGGATGTCAATTTGTTTTAGCATGTGACATAACTGTCGATTCAGTCAGTCAGCTACAACGTAGGGCCAGGCACATATATGCATCGGTCCAAGTTGCCATACCGCATTAGCACAGCAAGATGAACACCGGATTCTTAGAAGTAGTTAATTCAATGGTTGTAATATATAAAAGAAAGATTGTATATAACGATGTAGTACAGGAAGAAAGAGTTAGTTCATAGAAAGGAAAATATGAAGCGATTTTAAACTATTAGTTTAAGGGAAGATAGAGAGTGTATACACCTATGCCATTGTGATCGATTCTCAGCCATGTCACCAAGAGTCCCCGATCACTGGTTACGATAGTCACGCGGACCCCAACCAAGTAGTCTGCATCTATCAACATGGTTCAAACTAAATGTTAATGACTTCAAAAACTGATGCAACGTCTTGGTTTGGCCACTAGAAGCTTACGAGTGTCTTCTGCTCTCAATGGCTATGTTTCGCTGCCTTAAATTAAAACAGAACGGACTGCCGCGCAGTATACTCGCCTCTTAATTGATAGACGGATATCTCGCCTTCGCCATAGGTGACGTAAGTTGGCAAAAGTCAAACGAGCTTTTCGAACCCGTGTAGGGATTTCGTCAGACACCAACCCATTAGGGCTGATCAGACTTCCACGATAAGCGAAGTTGTCAACGCGTTCGACTACTTCACTCCCTATCTTTAGTTTAGGTGTTGACGCAGGCCATTCCTGAAGCAGCAACTTGCATTTAGAGGGAGAGAAGCGCATTCCAAACATTCTGGCGTTGTTACTTAGTGCTACCTGAAGACTGCATTTTATCAGCGTCTTCACCAAACAGGATTACGTATTCTAAGTGTTATAATCTCGTCTTACGGTTAATGACCCAGCTATTCCTATTGCTTAGTATTCTCGGACACCGATTCACTCGACAAGTCCCCAAATCAGAACACGGTTGAACAGGAAAGAGATTATATTCCAAATAGCAAGTCAGAAGCACAATAGGGAAAAACGTCAGTATATTTATAGTTTTTACATAAGAAGATTCCAGAGTATTCTCCAACTATCGACTAGTGCTGATTGGATAAGGATTAGCCAATCAGCGTGCACCAAAGCAATCATGCATTGAGGATGCTTTAATCTAGTCTATGTCCCGCTAACACCTCCCCTTTGAGCAGATTCGTAGGATCTGGTGCTAGGGTCCAACTGCAACTGAGTGACTGGCTTGTGCTTTCGCTTAGTCCATCGTCTAAGCAATAAAGAAGTATCACTCTTTTCTTGCACAGAGACTGACATGTCTGTTCCCGGCGTTTTGATTTTAAAAAAATAAAAGTATGCATAACTTTTAATTCTCCAACATTCTCCTCCTCCGCGAAACAATGTCGGATCCTTATATCTCCACGTTACAAATAATAGGACTTTATTTAAACGATGTTTCTCGCATTGAATGTCGGATCCACTAGAAATGACTAGATGATTATGAACGACATTTGATTTGAGGTCAGAGTTTAATTCTTTTGAAGCATTACTTTCAAATCCATTAGGAATTTCATCAGTGGATAATGGATCATTACGGAAATCAACATCTAACAAAATTAAATTAGACTTCTGACCATAATTTGACTCAGCCGACATATTTTCCTCATTTTTATAAGAAATTTCATCAAAATTACATGCATTATTCTGAGAACCCATATCTGACACATTGTCATTAGAAATCGGATAAGCTGATTCAATATAAATTTTTGTCTCACAATGATTTTGAGTAACATTCGGTATAATTGGGTTCATCGTGTCACTGCAGTTATTTTCTGAATACGAGTCTCCATAGCTTTCTCGGCTAATATCACGTGGACCATAATTTTGTTCTAGCTGAAATTTATTTTCAGAGCTAGACAGGACCAGTAGTGTTTCATTCAGTTCTGGACTCCGGGCTTCATCTACAGGGTCTGGCTCTTGATCATCTCGTATTGCCACAACTTTATGAGCATTTAGCACAGTATTTTCTTGCTGTGAGCCGGACACGTTACAAATATTACGTTCTGATTCAGGTATAAAGGGATTTAAACCCTCCACTAGATATGCTTCTGAAATGTCTGTTACTGCATCATAAACAGATTTCTTATTTTCTGGTCGAGTGAAAAGTGTGCTCAATAGTTGTTGTTGCAAGGCTAACAACTTCTGCTGGTGCTGTAATATTAACCGCAACTGTTCTAAAGAAATCGCCATTTTTCTTTAGTTTTTCCCCGTCGCCACTGTTATAACTCTCTTTCTTCTTACGGTTAATGACCCAGCTATTCCTATTGCTTAGTATTCTCGGACACCGATTCACTCGACAAGTCCCCAAATCAGAACACGGTTGAACAGGAAAGAGATTATATTCCAAATAGCAAGTCAGAAGCACAATAGGGAAAAACGTCAGTATATTTATAGTTTTTACATAAGAAGATTCCAGAGTATTCTCCAACTATCGACTAGTGCTGATTGGATAAGGATTAGCCAATCAGCGTGCACCAAAGCAATCATGCATTGAGGATGCTTTAATCTAGTCTATGTCCCGCTAACACCTCCCCTTTGAGCAGATTCGTAGGATCTGGTGCTAGGGTCCAACTGCAACTGAGTGACTGGCTTGTGCTTTCGCTTAGTCCATCGTCTAAGCAATAAAGAAGTATCACTCTTTTCTTGCACAGAGACTGACATGTCTGTTCCCGGCGTTTTGATTTTAAAAAAATAAAAGTATGCATAACTTTTAATTCTCCAACATTCTCCTCCTCCGCGAAACAATGTCGGATCCTTATATCTCCACGTTACAAATAATAGGACTTTATTTAAACGATGTTTCTCGCATTGAATGTCGGATCCACTAGAAATGACTAGATGATTATGAACGACATTTGATTTGAGGTCAGAGTTTAATTCTTTTGAAGCATTACTTTCAAATCCATTAGGAATTTCATCAGTGGATAATGGATCATTACGGAAATCAACATCTAACAAAATTAAATTAGACTTCTGACCATAATTTGACTCAGCCGACATATTTTCCTCATTTTTATAAGAAATTTCATCAAAATTACATGCATTATTCTGAGAACCCATATCTGACACATTGTCATTAGAAATCGGATAAGCTGATTCAATATAAATTTTTGTCTCACAATGATTTTGAGTAACATTCGGTATAATTGGGTTCATCGTGTCACTGCAGTTATTTTCTGAATACGAGTCTCCATAGCTTTCTCGGCTAATATCACGTGGACCATAATTTTGTTCTAGCTGAAATTTATTTTCAGAGCTAGACAGGACCAGTAGTGTTTCATTCAGTTCTGGACTCCGGGCTTCATCTACAGGGTCTGGCTCTTGATCATCTCGTATTGCCACAACTTTATGAGCATTTAGCACAGTATTTTCTTGCTGTGAGCCGGACACGTTACAAATATTACGTTCTGATTCAGGTATAAAGGGATTTAAACCCTCCACTAGATATGCTTCTGAAATGTCTGTTACTGCATCATAAACAGATTTCTTATTTTCTGGTCGAGTGAAAAGTGTGCTCAATAGTTGTTGTTGCAAGGCTAACAACTTCTGCTGGTGCTGTAATATTAACCGCAACTGTTCTAAAGAAATCGCCATTTTTCTTTAGTTTTTCCCCGTCGCCACTGTTATAACTCTCTTTCTTCTTACGGTTAATGACCCAGCTATTCCTATTGCTTAGTATTCTCGGACACCGATTCACTCGACAAGTCCCCAAATCAGAACACGGTTGAACAGGAAAGAGATTATATTCCAAATAGCAAGTCAGAAGCACAATAGGGAAAAACGTCAGTATATTTATAGTTTTTACATAAGAAGATTCCAGAGTATTCTCCAACTATCGACTAGTGCTGATTGGATAAGGATTAGCCAATCAGCGTGCACCAAAGCAATCATGCATTGAGGATGCTTTAATCTAGTCTATGTCCCGCTAACACCTCCCCTTTGAGCAGATTCGTAGGATCTGGTGCTAGGGTCCAACTGCAACTGAGTGACTGGCTTGTGCTTTCGCTTAGTCCATCGTCTAAGCAATAAAGAAGTATCACTCTTTTCTTGCACAGAGACTGACATGTCTGTTCCCGGCGTTTTGATTTTAAAAAAATAAAAGTATGCATAACTTTTAATTCTCCAACATTCTCCTCCTCCGCGAAACAATGTCGGATCCTTATATCTCCACGTTACAAATAATAGGACTTTATTTAAACGAT